GGGGGTGTCACTGAGTGTCACACTGGGGTCACTGAGTGTCACACTGGGGGTGTCACTGAGCACGAGGGGCTGTGACCACCCTCATGTGCCCATGGGGCTCCTGAAGCTTGGTTTCCTCGAGGGTTTGCCATGTGCCTCTCACAGGGATCTGAGCCTGTGCTCAACTTTAAGGCAGGTGGCAGAAGGGAACTCCCCACCTTCAGTCTCCTGAACTGCCCCAGGAGTGCAAACTGCCCTTCCCAGCACGAGCCTTTCGCTAGAAAGCATTACTGGAACCTGCTCCTCAGGGCAGGCACGAACTGATGAACCTGCTGCAGCAAACACACCACCCTGCTTTCTTCAGGTGTCCCTGACAGCCAGTTTGTTCCTGGTCAGTCCCTTCTGGGACATCTTGGCAGTAGGGACAGGATTTGCTTTCCTAATGCAGGTGCCTTTGGAACCGGCAGGTCTGAGTGCACGGAGCAGGACTGGGACAGGCAGGTGGTGTGCCCACAAGACACTGAAGGCTGGGACCTGTGGCTGCCCAAGCTGTTCTCTGGGGAGCATTTCAAGCTGACAACACATCTTGAGTTGCACTTATGGCTAATATGCTACTTAATTCCAAGACAGAAACAAACTGTCCTAAAGCCCTGGCTTTCCGCTCTCCTGCTCGGATTCTGCAGACGGACGGACCGACCTGGGAAGCACAACTGCTCACACCCAATACCCAAACTGGGTGCTTCTCCAGGGGAGTCAACACAAGATTTTGGTTTTTTTAAACCTCCACAGCTTAACAAAGGTGCTTGTTCTGCAGTAATCACATGCCATCAGAAGTCTCCCTCCCCCTGTGTTATCTCGGCCCTGACTGGGCCATCCAATTTCCTCCTCCTCTTTAGCAGGAGCCTTACAACACCATCACTTCCTTCCACGCCCATCCCTCCCACTAGAATTTCACAGGTAGAAATCTCTTCTACTCCAGCCCTTTGCAGGCAGATTCCCTCCAGTTTTCACAGTGAAGCCAACAGGAAAAGAGGAGGTCACATCCGTGAGCCCTAAAAAGCACTGCCTGCCTTTTAGCAGGAGACTCCAGCCCCTACTGCAGCTTTAATCACACACATTGCCACGTTCCCTTCTTTACATACAGTCCCTGCTGCCAAAACACAACAATTACGGGTTCATCCACCCACAGCCCAGAACAGCTCCAACAGCCAGCCACACCTGTGCCAACAAGGGGAGAGGGGAGGGCAGGGTGGACACACATCCCCCCAGGGAGCTCCTGGCCACAGACACAATGGACACGGAATCACCAGAACTGTTCCAGGTGCCCTGTGCCAGCCCTCAGCTGTGGGCTGACAGTACATGGTGGGAAGTCTCACATGCAAGTCACCCCCCAGCCTGTTTTCCTTCCTCAATATCCAAACAATAGTTTGCTGAGAAGAAAAAACCCCACAGTAATGCTGAGGGTGGGTTATTGCTACATACTTGGGAATGAGCTGTCACTGTAAGGCATGGGAAGGGGAGGGGTCAGACGTGTGACTGCCAGGGGAAGCCTTGGCCCATCCACTTGGTATCTGACTCTGTGACACACCATCCTTTGCTCCTCTGCAGCCACAAACCACACTGTCAGCTCACAGCTCTGCTGGCTGCCATCACACTTACCCCAGGAAAACAAGGACCAGTTTGCTCCAGTGACCTGGGCAGCCAGTGCCATCCAACCTGGCAGGGAGGGTTGTCAGCACAGGGTGCAGTGTGAATACAAACCAGACTTTTGGAGGGAGTGGGATGGGGTCTGAATTTGCTTCTCAAATACTCCTCAGTGTTTTTAGCCCACTAATGACAGAGACTGAAGTAGATCCAATCCAGATTTTGAGTGTCCTTGTAGTGTGCCACTAAGAGCCATGGGATATCTGGGATAGGAGGTCATGACCCCAGTCAGTTCACTTCCCCCTTCCTGTGGTTTTCTCTGTTAACCTCTTGCTGGCTTTGAAATATCTGTACAATAACTAAACCACAAAGTCTTAGCAGAGACTCCTTTCAACAGTCAGGTCTTTATTTGAAGTGAACTTTTGCTCAGACTCCTTTGGTAAATATATGGTTTGAAGTAGATCAGGGACAGACTGACAGCACGGCCCTTCTCTTACACTGTTCTAATCAGCTACAAAGCAGGCTCCATTGCTAATTACTGAACGTTTTTAAAAAAATCCTTTCATATACAAAAAGAATACACCAAGTACATAACCAAAAGTGATATAAAACTCTTCTGTGTAGCTTGGTTAAAAGGGTCTCCGCGTATTGGCAGAACAAGTATGAAAAGAGCACCATTGATAGAATGTACAGTCAGACGATGGATCTGGTCTCACTGCCACACTCATGTCTGCACAGAGACACTGCCTGACACAGACAGTCACAGACACTGCCTGACACAGACACTGCCTGACACAGACAGTCACAGACAGTCACAGACACTGCCTGACACAGCCACAGCCCCTCCCTCTGCTGCCCCTCCGCCGCTGGGCAGCTCTGGCCCAGCAGGACTCTCGTGCAGGTGAAAATACAGACTTTGCTCTCTTGATTTGCTCCAAGCAACTTCACCTTCCCCAGCATCCAGGAGTGACCACTGCAATGCACGGGGCAGATGAGGCTCAGAAAGGGAGGGTGCGAAGGAGCACACGTGTCATCCAAATCACTGACAGCTTCTGGCATCAGTCTTTTTCCCTGAATCAACAAATGCTTCCCTCTCCTGCAAACTACTTTACATGGTTTTGTTAACCTATCCTCTGCACAACAATATATATATATATAGATATATAGACTTTTTTATTTATTTATATATATGTATTCATGTCAAATTTTTAATATACTCAAGAAGATACAAAGCTCTTGGTACTTGCTTTTTTTTTTAAAGTTTTTAAATCTTTTTTTTTACAAAAAAATGTAGATGTTTACTATTACAGTAATATTTTGGGGGAGGTGAGGTTGTTGGATATTTCCCCTTTTAATTACAAAAGAAACGGCAGGCACTGAAAACCGCAAATGATGTTTGCTGGACTCAAAAATGTGCTTTCCAGTCACACCGTTTTTAGGAGCTCGTTTAAAACTAAATGTGGCAATCAAAGAACAGTGGCAACCAAATAAATTCAGCAAAAGTCCTCTCGTGCTACTGGTGAGACATTTGCTTCCTGTTCTCATCTGCTGCCCTCCCTTGACCAATGCCTGGAGAAAATCGGTGATCTCAAGTCATTTAGTTCACGGCATTTCCAGACCCCACAAACAGAGCACTTCCCTGGGGGTGACCGTCCCCCTGCACAGAGCAGGGGAGGGGAGCTGCTGCCCACGGGGGCATTTCAGGCCAAATCAAATATGCAATCCCAAAACAAAAGCAAAGGAACACAGAAATCATGATGATGATTTTAAAAATGCCAAACCAGTTCCCTTTGTGGCATTTTTCATGAGGATCTATAGCCCAAAGCAAACATGGATCCAACAGTGAAAAATTTACCATCAAACCCAAGTGACAGACCCATCTAAAATTTATAGCGTTTTCAAAATAAAACATCCTACAAAAAAGCTCTTTTTCTCTTCCAATGCCGTAACAGCTATGGCAGAAGTAGTTGTTAATCACCATCAATGCAACAGGGGTACATTTAACATGTAAAAGCTCCTTATTGCAATCTTTGAGAATATGAAAATAAAAAGCCAGGCAACTCCATTTCTCAGCACAGATTTCTGAACCAGGGACACTGAAACCTTCTACAAACTGCTTTTCAATATGTGGAAATAAAAACAGAGACATTACAGAATTCAAAAGGCAGAAGTATTGTACACCAGATTATAATGACAATATAGCACTGTGATTGATATAGCTTACTCTAAAAGCAGATTATACAGCTTGCATCAATTCTGTCATCCACTCTCCAGTTCATTTGACTACCGTTTAATAGGTTTTGTTCTGCGTTTTCTCCCTTCACTGAAATCCAATAAACCCACTCAACATTCCTGCACTTTCTGTGGAAATAATAAAGAAAACCTGAACATTTTTCAAAAAGCCTTCAAAAATGTTAAGAGTCACAGTTCAAAAGAAATCCCCCAAAACAAAAAAACCCAAACCAAGGAGCCCCAAGCCAGGGAAGTGCTGTCATCCTCACGGTGCCCCTGCAGTGGCAGCTCCAGTGTCCCCAGCTCCTCTCTCACTGTGGCACCGTCCCCACGCCAGAGTCACCCGGGGCTGCAGTGACAGGGACTTGGGTTCTCTGCTCTTGCTTTCTTCTTGCAGGAGCAGGAGGAGGGAGGGGGAGGTGGTGGCTGTCCTGGTGGGGTGTAACCGAGTTCAAAGCAGGCTGTGGCTGTAAGGCAGGGTGCTCTGGGTGCTCCAGGGGCTCCGGGGCCGTGGCAGGGTTCTCCCCACACCCTCCTGGGACCTGCAGAACCTGCAGCCTGTCAGTGATGCAGCGGCCTCGAGTCTGAATGGCAGTGGTGACTGATGAGATCCTCTGTGTCGATTCAATGTTTGCTTCTCCCCCTCAATTAAAAAAAATGTGGTTGGACTTTAGCCCTGCAAAATAAAGTCAGAATTGGTTACTACCAGTCAGTGACATGGCCTTCCTGATCTCCATCACCTCGTGACAGGACACTGGCTGCACGTGCCAACCTGTCCCCAGCACAGGGGGTCCTTGGAGGGTTTGTCTGGGAGAAAATGAGCACAGACTGTTTCTCAAAGTCAGGACCCTGGTGTAAGGCTTCCCTGGTCAGGGAGCAGTGCAGGAGTGGAGCAGGCACTGCACACCCTGAGCTCAGGGAGGTGCAGGAGAGGAGCAGGCACTGCTCACACACCCTGAGCTCAG